CTCCGCCTCCCAGGTTCAAATGATTCTCCTACCTCAACCTCCCAAGTAGTTGGGATTACAGGCACCTGCCATCACACACAGCCTTTTTTTTTTTTTTTTTTTTAGTGGAGACAGGGTTTCACCATGTTGGCCAGGTTGGCCGCAAACTCCTGACCTCAGGTGATCCACCTCAGCCTCCCAAAGTGCTGGGATTACAGGCGTGAGCCACCACACCTGGCCCTCAGCCATCTCTTTTACCTTCTGCTCATGACAGTTTACTAGAATTTTTTTCCCTTGAGACTGAATGTCAAGTCAAAAACAATAAAAAATTGCCAATCATTACTATGACTCCAGAGCTACTTGCTTCTTTAAAAATTCCTGAAGTTATAAAATATAAAGCCAAAGCAATGAATTTCTAATGGTGGAATTGTAGATACAATGGTCCCCTGGGGATGTTATTTCAGATGGGGTAAGGGGATATTTCTAACCCTATTTTAAGTCATGCCATCCTAGATAGTTATGTGAAAATGATATGGGTGCTTAGCAAAGCTATTAACTAGCACCCCTTTGGCAGTTTTATATTAAAAATCCTTTATTAGCTTAAGTATGACCCAGTGATTTTTAAAATTCATTACTGATTTTTGAAAGCCTCCTCTTCAAAACAAAAAGAGCCCATTGTTCTTAACTAGTAATACTAATGACTCCTATAAACTATATGTTAAAACCAATCTTACAGCTAATAGAAGGGTAAATATGATGCCAACTAATGTTTATACTTATACAAGTATCTACAAATATAAAGAAGTAGCTCCTTAATAATTTCTAAAAGGAGACCCATTGATTAATCTACTTGAGTCTCTTAGCAAGTGCTACTGTTTAACAACTCATCTGATGGTAGTAAATTTTCTCCTGAAGCTATCCTTTCTTTGTGACTAGGCAATAAGGTCTGTGGATCTGGGAGACCTACAGTTGTTATTCAATTCCTCTGCTTCCATGTAGTGTGACTTGGACAAATGACAGGCCTTGCTTTTCTCCATTGCTACCAAGATGGAAGTTGTAGCCTTCTCAACTGTTGTGGCAATTAATTGCCAAGTTCTTGGTCAACTGCCACATCTTCAGTCGAATACGGATCTCATTGAGATGCTTTGGAACTGTGTGTCAAATAATTCTAGTCACTCCCACAACATTTATTTCCCCCTTCTCCCTTACTAAAAGAGCCCTGATTTTCTAAAAGATGACTATGTGCCCAGTTGAAACACCATTTACACTCCCTTGCAGCTATGTCTTGTGACCAAGTCGTGATCAGTGAAATGTAAGTGAAGCATTGACAGTGTGCCTTCCTAAATAAAAAGACAAAGCCTAGTAAGGAGGCCTTCTACCTTTCACCATTCACTCTTTCCCTTCTTCCTGCCTGGAACACAGATGTAATGCCAAAAGAAGAAACCATTTTGTAGCCATGAGGATAAAGCCATACATTAAGAAAGACAGATCAAAGGATCTGGGTTCCCAGATAGCATCTTGAAGCTGTTTTATAAACCCTGGGCAGTCTGCTTTCAGACTTCTTTTTACCATGAGAAAAATAAATTCTTGTTTGGTTTAATCACCAAGAATGAATTTTTTTTATATGCAACCAAATGCAAATCCCAACCAATACACTCTGTGGACTCATGAGGTCTTCACCTGGATCTCATTCCCCTTCTCACCAGATCAAGATTCAGGGTCATCTCTGGGCTGTAGGGGAAGAACCTGAAACCATAAAAATTATAGAAGATAACATAAGAAAAACTCTTCTAGACATTAGCTTAGGCAAAGAATTCATGACTAAGACCCCAAAAGCAAATGCAATAAAAACAAAAATAAGTAAATGGGACCTAATTAGAAATCTTCTGCACAGCAAAAGATATAATCAGAAGAGTAAATAGACAACCCACAGAGTGGGAGAAAATCTTCACAATCTGTGCATCTGACAAAGGACTAATATCCAGCATCTACAAGAAACTCGGACAAATCAAGAAGCAAACAAATAAAGTGAGCAAAGAACATGAATAGACAACTCCCAAAAGAACATATACAAACAGCCAACAAACATGAAAAATGCTCAAAATCACTAATTAGAGAAAGGCAAATTAAAAACACAAGATACCACTTTACTCCTGCAAGAATGATCATAATTAAAAAGTGAAAAAACAATAGATATTGGCATGCATGTGGTGAAAAGGGAAAACTTTTACACTGCTGGTGGAAATGTAAACTAGTACAACCACTGTGGAAAACAGTATGGAGATTTTTTTTAAAGAACTAAAAGTAGAACTACCATTTGATCCAGCAATCCCACTACTGGGTATCTACCCAAAGGAAAAGAAGTCATTATATGAAAAAGACACATGCACCTGTTTGTTTATAGTAGCACAATTAACAATTGCAAAGATAAGGAACCAACCTAAGTACCTATCAACGAAGTGGATTTAAAAAATATGGTATACACCACAGAATACTACTCAGTCATAAAAAGAAATGAAATAATGTCTTTTGCAGCAACTTGGATGGAATTAATGGCCATTATTCTAAGTGAAGTAACTCTGAAATGAAAAACCAAATATCGTATGTTCTCACTTAAAAGTAGGAGCTAAACTATGAGGATACAAAGGCACTAGAATGATATACACTTTGGGAACTTCGGGGGAAAGATTGGGAGGAAGTGAGAGATAAAAGATTACATATTGGGTATAGTGTACACTGCCCAGGTGATGGGTGCACTAAAATATCAGAACTTACCACTAAAGAACTTATTCATGTAACCAAAACTACTTGAACCCTAAAACCTATTGAAGTAAAAATTTAAAAACAAAAACAAACAGCAACAACAAAAGATCCTGGTAGGAACAGTATGACATGGTTGTAGAAATAATTTTTTTTAATTATGTTAAAATATTTTCTTTGAAGCAGAACTTTGTGCATGATATTCCCCTCCACACCCCATGTAGCCAGAGGCACCTATTGCCTCAGGGAAGAATAGGATTGTTAAACTAGGAAAATAGACAAAGGCAGGGTAAAAATAAAGCCTAATTGGTTACCCAGAGGTCCAATTTGTATAGAAAAAGCAAAATAAATGCACAATTGTTTTCTTTTTCCTAAAATAGTTTTGAAAATTATGAACTGGTTCCCTCTCAACCATCAAGCAATCAATCTGTTCAGTTGTTTTTAAAATATTATCAATTAATAGATATAATCATGTTTGATGTGTTTTAAACAGTTGCGATTATCTTTTTTTTTTTTTTTGGATGCTCAAATTAGCTCATCTTTGGTCAATGACTGCCTGTTTGAATTGTCCCCTGAGTCTTCTTGACACAACCCTAGTGGTAGTTGATAGTTTTCTTACTTTCTGAAAATATTTACAGATAAAATGATATGGTGCTCTGGGATTTGCTTCAAAATGATGACACAAGAAAAAGGGGTATAGATGAAATATGACTGGCCGTGAGTTCATAATTGTTCAAGCTGGTGCTGGCCCCACGGAGATTCATTATACTACTTTCTTACATTTGTGTATGTTTGAAGTTTACTAAATTAAAAGTTAAAGATAAAAAAATTCAGTCAGGCACCTATAGTCTTCAAGCACTTGGGAGTCTGAGGCTGGAGGATGGCTAGAGCCCAGGAATTCAAGACAAGCCTGGGCAACATAGCAAGATCCAGTCTCGAAAGGAGAAAGGAAAAAAAAAAAAAAAGTTGAGTCTTGAATGCCTGGCTTTGATTGGGAGGGAGGGGGGAGAAAAAGATTTCTAAGTTCCCAAGGCTTCCCTTGACTTATCGATGAGTAGGCAGAGAGGTCTGACTACGGAGCTGTACTCTAAGTTAGAGGTCAGGAGCTCTCAGGATATACCCATTACCCCCATCATAAGGAGGGCATGAGGAAACCCTCTTGGATGGGGGAGAGAACAGAAGGTTGGAGGGTAAGGAGAGGGGAAAATGTGCGAAAAGCTTCCAGAGCGTCACGAGGTGGGTACCTCTTGGCAGCTTTGCTGGTGGGCACAGGGTTGGGTAAAAGGGGTTCCTTCACTACCAGTTTGTCTTACCATCGTCTTCCATTCTTCCGCCCAGATTCTAGTCTTTCAGCCCCAACAAGCCTGATTCTATTTCTTGTGGTCAAGGGGATCTTGCTTTCCAGACAGGACAGGAAGGAGCACTAGGCTGGAAATCCCGAGGCCAGAAGCCGAAGCCTATCAGCGATTCAAAATGACACTGGGTATTGGGTCTCACTCTCATCATCCATGAAATGAAAGGTCACCCTGCAAGCCTGAAGCCCCTGCAGTGTCCCAAGCATCCAAATGCAACACTCAAGAAACCCTGAACTCCAACAGCCTGTCCTGCAGGCCTCCGTTCCTTTTCACTGAACGTCTTTTTCCACCATTACACATCGCATCGCCTCCTAAAGAAAAGCGCGGCTGCTATCACTTTTTGCAGATAATTGGAGAGGCGGTGCCCAGCATAAGATGACCCCAAAGTTGACAGCACTTTCAGGCTTTGTGAATTAGGCGCGTCACCGACCTGTACGATTTCTCCTCTCTGCCCTTGCTCGCCTGCAAATCCTGACCCCCGTCCACACTGCGGAGAAATCTCCTAAGAGACTGCTGCCAGCGTCGCCTCTGCGCCCAGGAGGCGTGGAGCAAAGGACTCCGGAGCTGAGCGCGCTGCGGCCCCGCTCCCAGCGCACAGCCCAGAGGGAGGGGCCGGCGGGGGCCGGGCAGCGGCAGACTCGGAGCGCCGGGCTCACAGCGGCTCAGTCTCCTGCCGAGACCAGCCCCGGCTGGCGAGAACGGCGGCCAGTGCGAGCCAAAGCCCGGGCCTCAGAGCGGGTAGGCGGAGGGCCGGAGAGAGCGGCGGACTGCAACGGCGGGCCGCGCTCGGGGGCCCCGCCGTGTGCGCGTCCTCCCATCTTATCCTGGTAAGTGCGGGCGGTTGCGCCCCGCCTGCCGCTGTAGCCGCGGTGGTCGTGGTGCCCGGATCCCGGTTGCGGGCATCCCGTTGCTGCGCTACAGGCTCACAGGTGGCTCTGCCGTGGATGTGGGCGCCCCAGGCCCCGCTAGGAGTTAGACAACTCTCTCTGCTCCGGGGCGCGGATTTGGAGCCCCCGCCACTCCTACCCTTGCTTTTGGCTTGGGATGGGGAGCGCGGGGAAAGGCCTGCCGTCGGGGGAGACGCGTAGAGGGGCGCTTCCCTTCCCCAGTCACCTACAAACGACTCAGGGGGATGCGGGCCAACCGCCTCACCAAATGCAACCCAGCTCTAAGCTCACAGGTGGGGCGTCTGTCCTTTAGATTTATTTTCCTATTAATCCACCAGGGAAAGTTTGGGACCACGCAAGGCAAAGTTGGGGCGCGGCTGGGGGCGAACTTCTCCTACGGAGGCAGCTCTCGGGGAGACGAGCGGTGGGTTTGCAGGGGAAGCGAGGATCCGGCTGGAGATGACTTTGCGCCCGGGGAGTTGAATCTGTCCCTTGATGGTCGCCCGGGCCGGGCATTTAGACAATCCCCCGAGTGCTGTGAATCGCTTAATCGTTCCTGCTAAGCGTTGACGTTCGCAGCCAGCTGGGAATCTCCGTGATGGGTTCGGGTTATCTCAGGAGTAGCAGCAACTCAGCTGGGTTGATTTGTGCTCTTGCTTTGCTCTGAAAACCTGAGCTCCAGCTAATCTCAGTATTTAAGTAGCGTGTGTTTAATTAGCTTATTTTACACCTGAGATTATCTCAGCGACTGCCTCCAAAATGAAATCGTTGATATGGAAAAGAATAGTCTTTTTAAAGAAAAACTAAAAAGAGGACTCTTTAGAATATCAGCTGTCATGTCTGGCTATTTTACCCATCTCCTCCATGGGATAGAGAATGAAAACTCTGCTTTGGATATCTAACCTATTAAAGTCAGTGCTGGGGCTATTTTGGGCAGATTTTGTGGACAGAGGTATTGCTACAACTTGCGTATTGTTTATGAAATACACATGTGGTCTCTCGAAATAACCTTGTTATTTCACTGCATTGGGAGTTGTTTGACTTACTAAGCTGCCTATTTTAAATATGACTAAAGGCTGTTTTTTAAAAAAAGCTTTAGCTGCAAACAATGTCTAGTTTAGGGAAGACAGCTTGTGCATATCACCAGAATATTTTTTTGTAAACTTAAATTTGTAAAGGACTACTTTCCCACATCTGATAAAGGAGAGGCTTTTTATGAAAAATAAGATCTGATATCACTGTGTGTGCAGAAAAAATAAAACTAAATTAAAGAAACACTTTCCAAATGATAGCTTAAATCAGAAAAATTTGCCTACAATTGAGAATTATGTAATTGGACCAAAAGAAAACAATGAATAATTGTTAGTTGCCAAGTACCTAGACAGTTCTGAAAGAAGTGGGACCTACTTATAGCACTGGAAGGTTGTTACATGATTTAAGATGAGATAATCTGATAGATTTTTCACCTATAAAATTTTTATTCTTACATCTGCATTCTCTACACCTATCATTGGATTTACCAAAATATTTATTTGGGTTTATACATACATCTTCATAAGTGCCACATCCTATACTAAGTGCTACATATGTTTTTACTCAAAAACAATCCTGGGTGATAGGTACTGTAACTGTCCCCATTTCAAATGAAGAAACTGAGGCACAGAAGTAAAGTAACTTACCCAAGATCACACAGCTGCAGGACAGGACTTAATCATATCTGCAAATATCTTTTTATTAAAAAGAGATGATTTTATGATGTACTTATTCTCTTTTTTATTTTTATTTAAGCATAAATGATGAAAGTTGCCTGTGAAGCATAAGAATCCCTGATTGTGAAAGTGCCCCACAAGCATCGTTAACTATAAAGTAAGGAAAAGTATGAAAGAACCATCTGGTTGAGTCTAAAGTTGGAAGATCACCATATCCACCAGAAGACCCAGGATGGATCTGCACCAAAGCACCACCATCACTTTCCTAGAGAAATGGTGTTTGGATGAGTCACTGTCTGGCTGCAGAAGACATTATCATGTCAAGAAAAAACTGAAGTTAATTCGAATCTTAGGCCTTTTCATGGGTCTGGTAGCCATTAGCACTGTCTCATTTTCAATCAGTGCCTTTTCTGAGACAGACACACAGAGCACAGGAGAGGCCAGTGTTGTAAGTGGCCCTAGGGTAGCACAGGGTTACCGTCAGAGAACTCTCTTAGATTTAAATGACAAGATTCAGGATTATACTCCACAGCCACCTATTCCTAAGGAAGGTGAGTCTGAGAATAGTACAGATCATGCCCAAGGAGACTACCCGAAAGACATCTTTTCCCTTGAGGAGAGAAGAAAAGGTGCAATCATTCTGCATGTCATTGGAATGATCTACATGTTCATAGCCTTAGCCATTGTCTGTGATGAGTTCTTTGTTCCTTCTTTGACTGTCATCACTGAAAAACTGGGCATCTCTGATGATGTGGCTGGAGCCACCTTTATGGCTGCAGGGGGGTCAGCCCCAGAACTTTTCACATCTCTCATAGGGGTATTTATCGCTCACAGCAACGTTGGCATAGGCACAATTGTAGGTTCAGCAGTATTCAACATCCTCTTTGTTATTGGCATGTGTGCTCTGTTTTCTAGAGAAATCTTAAACCTGACATGGTGGCCGCTCTTTCGAGATGTGTCTTTCTACATTGTTGACTTGATCATGCTGATCATATTTTTCCTGGATAATGTCATCATGTGGTGGGAAAGCTTGCTTCTCTTAACAGCTTATTTTTGCTATGTGGTTTTCATGAAATTCAACGTCCAAGTAGAAAAATGGGTGAAGCAAATGATAAACCGCAATAAGGTCGTCAAGGTGACAGCACCAGAAGCCCAAGCAAAGGTTGGTGGTGGTGGTTTTTTATTTAATGCTTTTCTTGACTACAGTTCTGAATTATTATGTTTTTGATATCTGCAACTTTTTTGATGTGATGGTGTTTGGGGTTCTTATGGATAGCAGATTGATTCTGCAGTTCTGTGATAGCTAGACTAACATAGCAGTGGAAAAAATAATTTTAGGGTATTCTTGCAGATGTTTACTAAGTTGCCCAGCTACTCGCTTCAGAGTAAAACACTTGTAAATATAAGTTACATAAGCCTCCCAGAGCCGATTCAGCAGTTATTTGTCTCTTATTTTCTGAAAGTGGGCATAATGATTTTGTGAACAATTTAATTTTCACAGAAAAACGCGTATGTGCCTAGAAAGTTGCAAGGCCTTTTCTTTTTTAATGAACACATGACAAAAACCAAGAAAGAACCATCTCTTTAGAGATGTCTGAGGAAGAAAGTTTGTGTCACCATAGCTGTACCTTCCAGTCAGCAGCCTAGCCCAGCAGGGCTTGTCATTATTGTTGTCATGGCTGTTTTTCTTGATTGACACAATCATGCCTTAGATCACTTGACCAGGAACTGATCAGTATCCATTGTAAAGAGAGTCATTGGCCAGCCCCACCATCTGCCTCTGCATCACAATGACCCATTTTGCACACCATAATAAACATGACTTCACTAGTTTTAGAGTAGAATTTGAGGGAGTTTTAATAACAATAGTGGCCATCCTACCACTTAGGTGGGTGGAAAGCATGTTGGTAAAGAGCTTAGAAGTAATTCCTGCAAACACGTAAATTTTTTAAGTAGTGGACAAGTGGCATCAATAAAATTGTGTGTGGTATTGTAATTTCAGTTCTGATTTGTATCCCAGCAGTGGAATGTCATCTCTGAATGTGATTTTAAACAGAAAGTCAAAATACATACATAGACTTTTCGTGCCAGCATCTGCGAAAATTCTCATGTATGCAAAAAACAGATGTTTCAGCAGGGGGTGAGAGATTTTGTCCAAAAAGAAAAATGATATTAATTTAGTTAAATTTACATAATTCTTTTATAGCCAATTTTGATGACCATCATTTTCATTGCAGCCATGAAATGGAAGCAAAGTGCAGGAAAAATGACTAGTAATATTTCTACTTGTACTACATTTTTTTCTAACATTTCTCTCATATGCTTGTTTGTTAGAAACTATAGTAAAACCAAAAAATCATTTAGCAAAATATGTGGCAAACAAGCATTCAGATGTGACAACTGAGTACATCTCCTTCAGGGCATAAGATAGGACCATCATTGGAAGTTCTCCCCTACTCTAACTTAGCAGCCGAAAAGATGATCCCTCAAGTGCTCTCCTCAAGTCTGTTTGGGTGGTTTACATTGATAATCTTCAGTTTATTCCAATTAAAGTACTGAACGATTGTCAAGGAAATGCATATTTTTTAGAGACAAGGAAATGATTCAATGTCTTATACATTTCTTGGGCAGATCAATGGCAAAAAGTCTGTTTGAGAACTCAGTACTTTCTTGTTTTCTTACACCCTAGTGGAACTTCATTAACTTAGACGGAGACTTGGCTGAACGTTATATTGGCAACATTTATGAAAAATGAACCTGCAGAGCAATACAATGGTGTATGTAGGATTGCGGGAGGATTTTGTATTCTGATTTTAGTGGGGTGGGAGATGGTTTCATGCATTTTAGAAATAGCTTTCCCAATACAGGTTTATAAACTATGTTTAGTCAATTATAAACCATTCATTAAAGTAGCCCTGGAAGGATCTTTACCTACTCAATTAGGTGACTATTGTATTGTTTTTACGATTATTTTAAAGTGAGAAATTCAGGTTGTCATCCCTTAACACTTGTTATTTATATCCATAATTTTGTGCTATACTTAATATTGTGTGTTCTAAAATTTGGAATTTCTACATTTACTTAATTTAAAAAGAAGCAGATTATATTCATAACTATTTATGTTTCTGATTCTCCCCAAAATGTGTTCATTGTATTGTTTTCCATTTAGCACCAAATAGCTTTAACTGATTCCATTTAGTCATTAATGTTTCTTTTGACATTCAATAACTAATGGAAGTAGAGATTTTTTTCTAAACGAAGCTATGTCTTAATTTGTACTTCTCAAAAAAATGCCAGAGCGCAGTCACACGTTTTTAAGTGGAACGTGCATAAGGATGTGTGATTTCCTTTAGGAAATTTCACCTTGCCAATTTCACTTTTGAATTATTACTGGAATTTTTTTCAGTAATTACAGCCTTTATCATATGCCTGCTTTCAGAAACTCAGGGAGGTTTGCTCCCCAAGCAATGAACATAAGGTGTCATCTCCGAATGTGATTTTAATGTAATTAAAATCTTTTGGGATGAATCCTTGAGTGTGGTCATCTAGTCCCCTGGGCTGCAGAGTTGAATTCTGACTGTGTAGCTTACCTTTCTTACAGAAATTAATGCTTCTGACATCACCAAAACATTTAGGAAAAAAAGACTTTAAGTCAAATGCGGCCTTCGATGGAGTTTCATAGAGAGAAATGTGCTGTACAAGAATTTAGGAAGCAAAATACTCAGCATGTTTTCATGCAAAGCCACTTCATTGTCCTATTTGCAAAATTATGGGGCATGGGAGTTTGGGAAGGTAGAGGAAACACGTTTTAGATATTCTTATACAAATCATCAAATGGTTCTTGCTAAAAAGTCAACTCTGCTGGGCTCTAGGCAGTGAATATCTTTGAAACTACTTGCTTCATAGACAAATAGAAAATCTTAATTTGGTTCCATTGTTGATGATGTACATCATAGGGTAACTGTGAAGCATGGAAAAATGTGAACTGGCATTTTTTTTTCATAGTTAAAGCAACAGTTTCTCATCTCATTTAATTTCTCTACCTTGTGTGTGGTTCTTATTTTTATTATTGTTATTTCTTTTAGTGATGCTACTACCCTTTTTGAAAAGTTGTATACTGTCATGATGCAGTGATGAGACCCTGGGGCTTTTACTCAAAAAGGAAAGAGTTTTTAGCCTGATTGTGTAATAAGCCCAGTGATTTCAGAGAAGTCATTTTAACTCTCTGAGCCTCAGTTTCCTAACTGGAAAATGAGAATAATGATACCTACTTCATAAGATTGGTAAAATTATTAAATGAAGAAATGAATGTTAAGCATCTAGCGTGATCCTTGGAAAATGTGGGTTGTTTTCAATAAATGTTAATGCCTTCCTTTTATGTTTCATTCTTAAATGAAAAATGAATTGGAATAAATTATTTTAGATTCAAGAGTTATAAAACATTCTTTGAAGACTGAATTTGCTCCAGTGAATCCTCGAGTGAAGCAGGCCGTTTTACCCCTTAGGGTTATATAATATTTGCTGTATTATAATATTCATAAGCTCTAGTTCACATACAGTGAATATAAATGGGCCAAACATTAACTCCAAGGAAACTTCAAAATGTCTTTATTTTGTCCTGGAATTTTATTATTTAGAATTTTACTTAAAGTGAGTAGCTCATTGGTTGGGACTTAGCAATATCTGTGCTGAGCAGAGACTTTTGCTTTCAGGGTATTTTTGTTTATAGATGCTTGGGGCTCTCTTCTTAAAACGTTTTTATAGTTGGTTAGGAATAAGTTTGAATCCTGCAGGATGTGAAGCAATTAAGTTTCAGGTCATTCGGCTCATTTTGCTGTGCTCCTGGCCTGGCTGCTGGGGGCTGTTGATCTGTTATGGTGCTAGGCTGTCATTGGCCTAGAAAGCAGCTGTCCATGGTATTTAACTTCGTCTTAGACTTGGCACTGTAATCTGACAGCAAATTGGCCTGGTTCTAATGAAGGGCACGATCTAAATAAAGATGCTTAAAGCTGGATAGTTGGAGGGCCGGACTACTTAGTAATTTAGGTGTGCTTTGCTTCTGAAAAGCTGTAAATGATTTTAGCAATTCAAACTGTGATTAATGGTCTTTGGAAACTCAGGATTAAAACAAAATTATAAATATTCTTCATAAAATGAAGTATTTCTTGTAAAGTACTAAGCCATAAATAATTGTATAAGTATACATGTGTTGCCCCAACTTTGCTTAAGACACAGAATTTATTAATTAGTAAAATTAATATACAAGCTTCAAAGTAGGTAAGATGGTCCTTATATTAAATAAAAAGATGCATTACTTGATAGATTTGGAAACTAATTCTCTGTCTTTCTTTAAAAAAGTTTAGGCATTAAAATTCTTAACTGACTGTGAAAGTAGTGTGTTTATCTAGGGATATAGCTTGGTGATATTTTCCTTATTTTGTTTCCCTCTACTTATCCTAAAAGTAAACCCATCAGTTACTGCTTGTGATTCAGGGAGCGAACAAGGCATTTTGAGAGACCCCAAAGGGCCCAGTGGATTTTGATACACACAGTTCAAATTGCCCTTGGCTATTTCCCTTGCTATTCTGGTTTCCCCTGGCAACAGATGACCTAAACTTTGTGAAGCCTAGAGAACTGGAGTCCCCATATGTCTCCCTTCCACCTTCCCTTTCTATTCCTCTCTTTGTCCTTCTTTTCCTCTCCTCTTCCCTTCTTTTCGTTTGTCCCCCTCCCCTCTTTTTTGGTAGAAGTAGATAATTTGTATCTTAACTTTAGCGAAGAGTGGGATCGTATGTTAAGCTGCTGTATGGCTACTGGGGACACAAGTACATCCACAGTGTGGATTTGATAGGTTTAGTTTTTCCATTCTTTTATTTTCAACCTTCTTTTGTTTTAGATAAGTCTCTAGTAACCAGAATATACATGCACTTTATTTAATTCAGTTTCACAAGCATTATCTTTTAACTGGAAAGTTTAGTTTGTTTATATTGACTGTGATTACTGTAACATTTGGATTCTGTTTCATCATGTTATTGTTTACTTTCTATTTGTTTTGGCCTTTCTGTTTCTTTTAGAATTTTTTCTTGCCTGTTTTTGAATTTTTTTCTAAATCTGTTTTTCCCTTTAATAGTTTGGAATGTATACACTCTATTTCTATTATCT